TCTCCACCTAACCATACTACTCCTGTCTCCACCTAACCATACTACTCCTGTCTCCACCTCCCTAATGCTGGGATTAAAGGCCTGTGACTCCCAAGTCCCGGGATCACCTTTGTGTGAGCTCTTTCTCTTTTAGATACGTTCAGTCTCAAGTAGCCCAAGGTAGCCTTGAACTCAGAGATCCGTCTGCCCCTGTCTCCCGAGTGCTGGGATTAAAGGTGTGAGCCACCACTGCCTGCCATCTATGGCTAACTAGTGGTTTAGCTCTGCACTGTTTAGGCAAGGTTTGTTAGATTACTAAGTATCACTACAAAAAAAAAAAAATTACCTTTCCCTTTAAAAAAAATAAATAAATATATCCTAGTAAAAGTTAACTGAGTAGAACTACACTTTAGATCAAGTGATTAAGATTATATATTTATTGGTGTATATGCTGGTACCACTGGAAGCCAAAAGAAGGTGTGAGATGCCCTTGAACTTGATTCGCAAGCAGCCTTGAGACACCACGTGAGTGCTAGGAACTAAACCCTGGTCCTCTGCAAGAGCCACAAGCAATCTTAACCGGCTGAGTCATCTCTTCGGCCAAATGAAGACACTTTTGCCCTTACCAACCATTGACAATGAAGGTGCTGTGTCTGAAGGCTTAAGCCACACCTAGGGAGAATGACAGGAAACTCTGGGGTGGCTTCCCTTACTCGTGGCAACATTTTGAAGTTGGAAGAACAAGCATTAATAAGAGGTGCAAATGGAAACAAAGAAATGGCAAGCTAACATCTAGCCTCCACACACACCAGCCCAGGCACACGTATAGGGTGAGTGCAGCCAGAGGAAACTGAGTGATGCTGAAGGAGGCTGGGGTGGGGGTGGCTTGTACAGGAAAGCCAGACCAGAAATAACCGCTGGTGCTTTCCAGAGCTGCGAGGCCATACGTAACAGTACCAATAAACTGTCTGCCTGAAAGGAATGGGGGAACAAAAGGAGATCAAATTCTGGCTCAAGGTAAAAGATCTTTTTAAACTCAAAGCCCTAACTAACAACAGAACAGAGTGCCTGGCTAAGCTGGGAAAGAATTCTTGACCACACCCAGCTGAAAGGGGTGAGTCAGGACAATATGAAGCAGACCAGTTCACTGGGGGAGCAGGGCTGGACCTGGCGACTTCCAGGAGGCTATCATCTTCAAAACTATAGGATTTTATACCTCACGGGAGCCCCAGGAAATACTGAAAAGCTACTTTGAAAGATTTTAAAACTCCCAAGTGGTAATTCTGTTGCTTAAAGTAAGACACAATTTTCCACACCCACCATTTGCAGAGCCTCTGAGCTCTCTGGAAACTGTGGCGTGTTCACGCAGTTGTAATTTTTCCAATATGTCAGGAGGCGCTCCAGCTGTTATGGGAAGGCCTGGTATTCTAGAATTACTCTAAATGACATCATCGTCATTGCTTAAGAAAATGGCTGGCCTCTGGATGATAAACCCCTAAGAGCAGCATGGACCCACAGCCATGGCCCCACGAGAACTTCCTGTTTCAGGAACACATTCTGTTTTGTTCATTCTAAATTTCGGGCCACAACTCATTAACGGGACAAAACTCACTCCATGTGTCTTGATGAGTGTTTTTATTTTTTAAATGAAACAGAACACAACAGAATAGACTAAGAAAACATCACAAGGTGCTACATACCACAAGAGCAATACCATCTAGTGGGACTTTTATTTCAATTAAATATGTATATCCATCTGTGTGTCATGATGTAAATATCTGCCATAATGGCCTAAAAAAAAAAACAAAAACAAAAACAAAAAAAACTAATGTCTCAGACTAGGGACACAACCATGCAGAAAGATCAGGGAGGCAGAGACTCTGGGTGGAAATGATAGGTTTTAATGCCCCAGCCGACACCCACAGTCACACCCGGCTCCTCAGACAACATGATCTTTGGGACTGGACTTTGTACTGAGTCAAGCAACACGCAGAAGCCCATGGCTCCACGGACAGCAACTCCAGCAGAATGCTAGAGGAAGGCAAGGTAATTACATCTCATAGCAAAGTACTTTTTATTCTTAAATAACTCTGATGTGCTCTGGTTTCTAAAAGGCTCTAATCCCCTGGACCTCCGGTTCATTTCAAGAAATGTCTTCTTCACGTGGGGCCAGCTAAACAGTGGCCGCCTCACCACGGTGATCTCTAATCCAGGATATGTACAACTAGGTTTGCGCAGGCAGGGAAGACGTGACAAAAAACCACTTTGGTGGTATGGACTACGTGGTGTTTCTTCACTGGATTTTGGTAACGGCTTCATGGATGGAGGTAGCGACGTAATCTAGGTTTTTGGTGGTTAAACCGCACATGTTGATTCGACCGCTTGGCAGCAGATAGATGTGCTTCTCGTTGACCAGATATTCAACCTGCTTGGCTGTAAAGAAGACAGGAGAGCAACGTGGTGAGTTAAAGTTGTGAACATCCAGAGACCACAGGACAGTGGCACTCTACCCCCTTTAACACAGACAAGCCAAACAAAAGGAGCAACTTTGTCCTTTGTCCAATCAGCAAATAGAAAACTACTTATTAGATCCTGAAAGACTTGTCTGTACTTAATGTCGTTTTCAGGGTGTTCACAATATGACTATAACAGAAGGGTAGCTGTGAATCTGGGACTACCTCCCAACCAGACCCTGCACATTAGACAGCCTTCCCATTGAGAATAACCACCAGAAATAAGTCTGCCCACTGAGAATAACCATCAGACTAAGTCCGCCCATTGAGAATAACAATCAGACATATGTCCGTCCATTGAGAATAACCACCAGACTAAGTCCGTTCATTGAGAATAACCATCAGAGCTAAGTCTGCCCATTGAGAATAATCACCAGACATAAGTCTGCCCATTGAGAATAACCATCAGACATAAGTCTGTCCATCGAGAATAACCACTAGACATAAGCCCGCCCATTGAGAATAACCACCAGACATAAGTCTGTCCATTGAGAATAACCACTAGACATAAGTCCGCCCATTGAGAATAGCCACCAGACATAAGTACGTACATTGAGAATAACCATCAGAGCTAAGTCCACCCATTGAGAATAACCATCAGAGCTAAGTCCGTCCATTGAGACTAACCATAAGAGCTAAGTCTGCCCATTGAGAATAACCATCAGACATAAGACAGTATATTGATAGGAGCTGGTTATACGACCCACTTTGTGTCTTCCCCAGGCTGGCTGCTTAGACCTGCGCATCTAACAACCTCCAGCATTTCATTTCACAATACATGTGACAGGAGCCCATCAGGACATATTGATAAATGACATGTGAATGAACCAAGAGGCTGAGAAACTACCCAGACCCCACAACCTAGGACCATCAGATCCCCATTCAAACCTCAGCCTCCCGGGATGCAATAACCTTTTTTGGACACTGAAGATATGCCTTTGCCATGGCACTTTCTCATTGATTTAATAAAGAGCTAAATGGCCAATAGCCAGGCAGGCAGATGTTAGGCGGGACTTCAAGGCAGAGAGAGAGAAAGAGACAAATCTAGGTGGGAGAGAGAGACCAGGAGATGGAGAGGAAGCAGGACATGCAGGAGAGGTAAAAACCATGCATCATGAGGCAACATGTTGAGTAACAGCAGTGGGTTAATGTAAGTTATAAGACCCAGTTAAAACAAGCCTGAGCTAAAGCCGAGCTTTCATAATTCATAAATCTCCATGTTGTTTTTGTGAGCTGGCAGCCCAAAGAAAAATTCATCTATATATAGTAGCCAAGCACCACATATGAAAAAGGAAGGGCAGGTGTACCCTTCCTCAATCCTACAATCACTATAGTGATTTTGTTTTTACTACGAAACTGTGGCCAAATTCTAGCACATTTCTGCTTCATTAGCACATTAAAGACATGGAATAGAATAATAAGATCACGCTCATCCCTGGGCACACCCAACATGCTAGGCAGTGTTCCAGGCACTTCAGTAACTTTGTTGTCATTGTTGTTGTTGCTTTTCGAGACAGGGTTCCTCTGTGTATCAGCCCTGGCTGTCCTGGAACTCACTTAGGCTGGCCTCGAACTCACAGAGAACAGCCTGCCTCTGCCTCCCAACTGTTGGGATTAAAGGCATGCATCACCACTGCCTGGCCCAGCACTTCAGCATTGTTGGTAACAGCCTTATCATCCCCATTTCACACATGGGGCACAGGGAAAGTTCAGCACCCTCCACTGCCTCCGAGTGCTGGGATTAAAGGATGCACACCACTACACCTGTCTGTGTGTTTTCTTAGTAAAATGAGGGGAAGAGAAAACCAGAACTGTTGTTCAAAATATAGCAAGTGATGTCAAACGCTAAGAACAGCCAGGTTCAGTCTATTTCTGCCACTTTTCCTACTCTGATTAGCAGTAGGCTAAAGCTATGCGGGGGGAGGGGGGGTCCCTTCTTGTAAGCTCTTAGATGACACCCAATGCTCATTTGCATATCACTATTTTTACGCACGCGCGCGCGTGCACACAATAACTTCTCAGCCAAGGAATTCTCTACCCCACATGAGGACACCTACACCTAAGTGAGCCACTCGCTACTTTCTGGGGCAGCCTCATTTCGACACAAAGTCGTTCAAGAGGGTCTATAATACCATCTTGATCACATGTTTCCATTTATCTCCCTTGGGTTTTGTTCTCAGTCCCTTTCAAACTAGCACTCCAACAGTCTGCCATTACACTTGGTTGAAGCTTCCAGTTTCCCACCTACAATGGAACCCAACACATATCCATCCCTCACTAGAGTTACCAAGAGGACAGGTCAGCGGTCACTCTGCACCAGGCTAACAGCAGGTATCCAGCAGGTGCTCAGAAAGTAATTACTTACTAAATCAATGGTTCCTCTACCATAAGGGACCAATACCGGCAGCTGACCAAAATCATGCCCACGAAATTTCCTATCAGCTTTTAATCCCAACTACCTCTACCAATTTTTAAATTTATGACAAGGAGAGATAACGTTCCAGCATTTTTTTGAGAGTACTACCTGGAGACCACCAAAGACCTGTTAAGAATTTTGGTCCCAAGTCAGACAGTGGTGGCACACGCCTTTAACCCCAGCACTCAGAAAGCAGAGGCAGGTGGATCTCTGTGAGTTTGAGGCCAGTCTGGACTACAGAGCTAGTTTCAGGACAGCCAAGGCTGTTACACAGTGAAACCCTGTCTCGAAAAAGCAGAAACAAACAAAAGGAAGAATTTTGGTACCTAAGGACTCACATGTAGTATTTATGATTAAGATAAATGATTAAAGTAAAGCCAAAGGCACCTGGCAATTTATGAGAAACTGGTTATAGATTAAAGATCCAAGTTACAAATCGTGTTATTTCCCAGCTAGCTCTAAGTCACTTTCTAACCCATAAAAATGAAAATACCAAAATCATGGGTCAGGAGGGCAGACCACAACAATGCTCCTGAGGTTTCAATAGCTCAGGAGATACGACTAAGAAAACCTAACTTGTTCTGATCCAAAATAACATCTGACCCACTGACAACAGCTGTGTCCACGTGCATACACGTGCTCAAGAGGCTGGGGCCACTTACGGTTCAATCCAGTAAAGCTGAACATTCCAATCTGCTCAGTGATGTGAGACCAGGTCCCGGGAGTCTTGAGGGCCTCTAATCGTGCCCTGAGTTCAGATCTCATGGTCAGAATCCGGTCAGCCATTGTCTTCACATTGCCTGTCCTGAGACATGGACACTGGTATCAACACCCATTCACACAGATAAAGAGGGTTCACAGAAATATATAAGTTTAAAAGCTGTAGTTTAGTTGGGCAGTGGTGGTGCATGTCTCTACTCCCAGCATTCAGGAGGCAGAGGCAGGCGGATCTCTGTGAGTTCGAACCTGGCCTGGTCTACTGTTCCAGGTTAGCTAAAGTCACATAGCAAGACCCTGAACCCAAAACAAACAAATAGAAAGCAAAACAGTCTGCAATTTAAATTGAACACTTAACATGAGATCACGGCCTGTCTGCTATGGTACCTGTGTTCCTAGACAGATGGATTAACAGCCAGAGACACAGACACAAGGAAGGGTCAGTAAGAACTGAACTTCCTGATAGAGTTCAGTGCTGCTCTATGGTACTACGGCTGTAATGCATTAGCATCCCAGTCACGCTTCACCGGGGTGCTGATACCAATAGGACCATGCACTCCATTAGGCCTAATGGATCTATCAGACATTACATGAAAGCCACGGTCTTCTCAAATAAGATAAATACAAGTCTTCACCCTTCTCTACAGTTTCACTTCCTCTGGTCTCAACTATCTTTGGTTAACCACAGTCAGAAAACATTAAATTCTAGAAGGTTTCATAAGATTGAAGTAGCTATTGTTAAAGCATAATGTTACAATGACACCACTCCTTTATTAATTATTATTACTAGCCTCTTCTACCATGTCTAGTCTAGGAGCTAAATTTCATCATCCTGTAAATTCACGGCAAAAAGAGAGAGAGCCCCAGAATGGTCACACTGCCTTGAAGTCAGACAATCTATTCTTGCAGGAACTCCTGTGCTTCCGCTTTACAGAGGGGACTGGACAGTGAAGGAACGAGGAACGGACATCCATCACAGAGCCACTGCACATCTCGGGCACTGTGCTACCACACACACGTGACGTGGGTACCTGTCCACTTTATGGACATAGAGGTTAGGAGTGTTCTGCCTCTCCCACGATAAAAAAAAAAAAAAAAAAAAACTAGGAAAATGCAGCTCACAATGCAACTCTGCACCTCCCCCTCACATGTCAGGATCCAACCAAACAATGCAGCTTACAATGCAGTCCACAATGCAGCCCACAATGCAGTTCTGCACCCCACCCTCACGTGTCAGGATCCAACCAAACAATGCAGCTTACAATGCAGCCCACGATGCAGCTCTGCACCCCACCCTCACACGTCAGGGTCCAAGCCCCTTACCACTCCTTAAAGAGCTCAGGGTCAGAGAGGGTGAAGGCCACGATCCGTGCTCCCTGCGCAGGGGGATTGGACCAAGTGATTCTCACAATCTTCTCCATCTGGGAAAGGACCCGCAGGATGCCGTCAGATTCTTTTCCAACCACGGTCAGATTCCCCACTCTCTCATCTAAGGAGAAGATAAGAACCAGGCTTAACTGCTGACACAGTATTGAGGGGGCAGGGAGGCAGGGCAGCGACTCTGGAAGGCACTCACTGTAGAGCCCGAAGTTCTTGGAGAAGGACTGGGCACAGAAGAGCTCGAAGCCTTCAGACACAAAATAGCGGATAGCCCAGGCATCTTTCTCTAGGTCTCCAGATGCAAAGCCCTGATAGGCTGAGTCAAAGAAGGGGAACAGAAAACGGCGCTGCGAGGAAGGAAAGCAAGTCAGAGCAGGATGTCCTCGGGAAGTAGCCTCAGACATGGGCCCTTCCGTCCCCACTTGGTGCCTGGGAAGAAGTTCTGCCCTGAACTGTCCTTGTATTTCTTGCCTGTGTGCATTCACTTTGCTGCCTGCCACTCTGCACCTGTTTCACTGAACAGCAAGCAGCAAATGACCACTTGTCAACCTCCCTTCTTCACAGCGTGCTGTGCTCCGGCAGCAAGGTGCACGGCTTATTTCTGAAGCTCGGAGACACTGTCCTGTGGCAGTGGATCCTTCTGCAGGAATTCCTGGCAGGATAACTGAGGTCTGGCAACCCCAGGGCCTCCTCGCCTCAGTGCGACCCTACCAGCTGCTCAAGACGAAGCAGGCTCTCCATTCTAATTGCTCTCACCTCTTCAGAGTCCCCGATGATGAACCTGTGGCTTTGACACTGACTGGACAAATCTCTTCCCTCCCCTGAACTGTCCAAACCAGAAGCCTGAGTGCATCTTTCAAATCCCGCAGCTTATCACACACATCTTAGCCCCTGATGCCTGCCAGCCTAGTCTCCTAAGGAGCTGCTTGCACCTCCCTTACTCCAACGCCACCTACTTCATCTGGTTTCTAGGAACGCCCTCTTGGACACTGGCAGCATCAGCTTCTCTCCCAGCTGTCTTGCGGAGAGCCTCACTCCACACATGTCCAATGTCACACGGCTCCCGACACTGTCTCAACTAACTTCCCTCTGACCTATTCCGCACCATATCGTCAGGGTGAACTTAAGGCTCAGCCCTATTTACTCTCTAGACACATCGCCTACCCTCCCTTGATCCCCCAGAACTCCAGGTAGTAATGCAAATATCCTTCACTTCCTTAGACAGACACACTGTCTGCCGTGGTGGGGCTGTGGCCATGCTCCCCCTCTGCCCTTGCCAGCTTTCCATCAGTCCCCTCCAGACAAAGTCTTCTCACCCCTTCCCTTCCAGGACTCAGCAATGGAGACCACTTCCTGCAGAAAGACTAGCCTATTACCAGTCATAAAATCTGAGCTGTGCACCCGCAGAACTCAGCCACACAGCGTCTCACAGTATCAGAACTGCTTTAATACTAAACTGGTCTTCCCAATCTGGCTATGTGCTCTTCAGGGCAGGGGCTGCACCTGCTCTGTTCTCTACCAGACCCCAGGGGTGCTTAATACTTACGAGTTGCCTCGTAAGCATCCCATAAACACGTTGATGAAGAATATATACACTTTGAGCTAGAAATTCTCATCTAAAAAGCATCCTAAAGAGATCAAGTTTCACTCTGTAAATAAATCAGTTCAAGAAATCTGAAATAAACCTAAACATTCCTCAACTGATTTACTCAATCCCCAAGATGGCATATTCATGAAAGGATCATAGGGCTATGAGAACTGATGCTGTAAAATATTAAATGATGTCATATAGAGAAATAAGAGGGGGAAATGCTGCAAAAATAATATTAACAAAATGATTCCACCTTTATAAAACATATAGACATTTTAAAACCTACACAAACCCTAATATTCCACCCACTAACACACTACGAGTGTCTGTTGGGGTAAGAGGATTTACAGTTAATATCTATTTTCTTCTTTGGACTTCTTTCCACTTTCCAGACCCTCCAATAAGCAGGCTGTGTTTTAAATAATTATCAACAACTAACTGAAATTAAGCCATACGCCCTATGTTTCAGATGCTCTGGAAGAGCAGGTACCTTCATGACGGCAGCGATCTCCTTCCACTGCTCTGGAGTCGGGTCGGTCCCGGTTGGGTTGTGCGCACAGGCATGGAGGACAAAGATGGAGAACTCGGGAGCATTCTGAGGAGAAGAAAGGTCCATCAGCTCTCTGACACAGCAGGGAGTTCAGGAGATGGTCAGCAGTACACGGGACCCAATAACAGCCTGAGCTTCTCACGTCTCGCTCTTACGTAAGCGAGTGCTCTCTTACACGCTATTTCAAATGCACTATCTGATTTGGAGAAAAAGCAGACTCTTGCTCATCAACTGATCCCAAAGTTTTCCCTACTGCTTCTGACCCCACAGAAGTCTCCACTGCTCTTCTCTACCACCCACCTCCAGATCACTCAGGAAGCCCTGGAGGTCGAGGCCTCTCTTCTCCGCGTCCCAGTAGCGATAGGAGCGGATGTCCTTAAAACCGGCAGCAGAAAACACGGCATTATGGTTCTCTGAAAAGTAAAGGGACAAACGTTAGGAGCTTTTATGAACACGAGGTGATGGTGTAATCAGAAGGAACACAGGCGCTTGCACTGGGCATTGTGAGTTAGAGTACCAACCTAGTTACTGAGCTAGAGTACCAGGAACAAGTTAAACCAGTTACAAGAACTCCAGACTTGCAGCCTATGGTGCCGCCTCCTGCATTCACCTTTATACTGGAAGCCCTCAGCATGGGCTAAAATGCAAGACTGGAGAATCTGGGAAAAGGTGCCCCCGGCTGAAATCTGAGCAGCAGCTGTCTCGGGATGCTGCCTTCCGGATATAGATTACCCCTTCCAAGCTGCCACTGAGTGCCCTCGGGCCAGCCCTCCCAGCTGCTCTGCTCTCTCTCCCACAGCTAATAGGCTCACCCCAGGTTGGCGACGATACATAGACGGGTGTGTTCTTGTTGTCTATGCCATTGTACCATCGCCCTAAGAAATCAGCTCCGATTCGAAGTGCACCTGTTCCTCCCAAAGACTGCACACCTCCGACCTAAGAGAGAAGATTGGGGGTCACAGACTGACAATGGTGACATCGTTTAATATCTACAAGAGTAAGACAATAATGATGACCTACTTTGTGCCCGTTCTTTGCAAATCCCCTAATGTAGGAGTTCATCAAAGCTTCCAACAATTGACCAAGATTCTATTAGCTGCTCATGTTCACCCATGGGGAAACAGAGATGGGAAGGTGAGAGATAAAGTCCCTGCCACCAGCCAGTGAGCAGGGTGGCCAGGTTCAAGCTCACAGTTCCAAGAGGAACTTCCATTCTGAGGACAGGTAGAAGGACCTAGGTTGTGCCCGTGTGTGCCTTGGAAGGAAACCCATCTGTTCACGGTACCCATCCCAAGATCACTCCTTTCAGTAGCAGTCCTGGAAATACACCCGAGTTGGCCCTTGACACTATCGAGCTCAGAGCACAGTTTATTAACCCCTTGGAATGTGTCCTCCCTAACAAAGATAACAGGCAGATTCTTCTCTCCTTCCTCAGTTTCCTCTCAGCTCTGAGTCCTAATATGGGCAATACTAGAAACCCCGTTTTTACCATTAACAAAAGTACTTTCACACAGGGTCTTATTTGGTACTCACATGCCCCTCAAAGTAAATTCTATTTCCCCAGTTGACGAATGAGGAAACAGATTGAGAGAAATAAATGGTTTGCAAAAGGACAGAGAGGAGGCTGGAGTCATGGGTGGGCACGAAATGAGGTCTTCCCGCTCTGGATCTGGTCAGTCTGTCTTCTGTACGTCACTCCATCTACCTCTTTGATTTGACCCTTCAAGTTCTAGTGAGGCTTCGGCATAACTCCTTCAGTATAGAAATGGCATAAATTAGGTGCCACCTAGTATGTGGCATACTAGAGTAAAGAGAACAAAAGAAGCACGTGGAAAAAATCTAGAAAGAAAAAGAGGTGGCTGGGATGTAGTTTAGTGGTAAGGCGTTTGCCTAGCACGTGGACGGCTCAAGGTTCAACCCCCAGCAACGTGTAATTTAAAAAGAGAGCGAGCTGGCAGTGGTGGCATATAATCCCACTATTTGGGAGGCAGAGGCAGGCAGATTTCTGAGTTCGAACCAGCCTGGTCCACAGAGCGAGTTCCAGGACAGTCAGGACTACACAGAGGAACCTTATCTCGGGGGCGGGGGTGGGGGAGCACAGAGCTGGGCGCTAAGCTAACACTAACACTAAAAGATAGCAAAGGAAAACTGGGGGGGGGGGATCCTGACACTAGCTCAGCCCTCCCTCCAGAAGCAATCACAGGACTGAAAATGCTCCTTAAAAACATAAATCCACTTCACTAACATGAGCTACCCTGGCACTCATACTGTATATGACACATGAAATATCAAACATTCAAATTATCATGTCCTGAAGATTTAAACACTAGATGGCTTCAGAGGAACATAAGTTACTCTAAACATCAGTAATTAACAGAAACCAATTTTTTATGAATAAATAAAGTAGCAATTTGGTCATTGTAGAAACTAATTTTTGACTAAGAAAGTCCTATATATTTGGAAAAAAGGAAAATAGTTAATATCTAAGGAAATAAGTTCAGACAATTCATGGAGTCAGTCACCTAGACTCAAGTCGCTACACAGAAGTACCCAGAACAAAGGTTAAACAAAGGTTAAACGGTTAAAACTGAACAAGACGGGTTCCGCACCTCCTGCCTATGTGGACATTGCTCTACAGGAGCTGAAAAGGGACATTTTGTTAGAGCCCTAAAGTCTGAAAACGGAAAAGTAGTAAGGAACAGTGAAAGTCCTAGAACTTGGTCTAATGTTCAACCTTGAGAGGATGCTGTATAAGGAGGACAACATTACAGCTCGACTCTGGTTCGTTGTTCACGTCTTGTCTCTACTACTCTTCCTATCCTGTCCACTCCAGTTAAACCTGAATCCAGCCTCCCTCCCTCTGTCACCCTCCCTCCGCCACGGCTAGCATGCCTCCCTCTCCTCTCTCTCTCCGGCTTCTGTCAACTTTAACACAGTAAGCTGAAGCAAAGGTTGTCTGTATGGTCACCTGGATACCAGTAGCATCTAGCAAAGTGTCCAGCCCTTCTGACAAGCAAGTGAATGACTAACTCGAACATCTGAGACTCTCAGAAGTCCCATGAGCTAAAATGTGGAAATGCATGCAAAGTAAATAAGCCATGATCCCTGGCCAGGATCACACAGTGTCAGAGAAAAAGCTTATAAAATTAGACATTACAGGGCGCTGGAGACACAGCTCAGCAGTTGCTGCTCTTCTCAAGAGGACCTGGTTTCAGTTTCCTGAACCCACAAAGTGACTCACGGCCATCTGAAACTTCAGTTCCAGAGGAACCGAAACACTCCTCTGACCTCCCTGGGCACCAGGCACTCGCGTGGCTCACATATTCATGCAGGCAGAACACTCACACATACAAAATAAAATGACATTTTCTAACTAGACATCATAGTTAAAACACAGTGAGTTCTGCTATTCCCTGACAGTCAACAGTCACACCATAATTCAAGAGAACCTAAAGAACTGGCCACACCTAAGAAAGTGGATGATTCAGCATAGAGGTGACCCTTGGTCAGGTCTTGAAGGTCTTAGAGGCAGAGACAAGAGAGCTGGGAGGAATAGAAGGGCATTCCACACAGTGGGAAAGGCCAGGCAAGGGTTCTGAGTCCTCAAGGCCTGTGGGCTGAGGAACAGCAATGCTCTTAGGATGGCGGGATCCAGCGGGAGCAAATTTTCAGGGCAGCAGTGGACGTGCGCCATGGGGAGGGCGGAAGCAGGTGGCACAGTCAGCTTTTGGTAAGGAAGCTCTTTAACTCTTGTTTGGAAATTGTACTGGGAGGAAAAGGAGACTCGAGGCCAGAAAGTCAATGAGGCTGTTGTATGACCACATGAGCTGATGGCGGGCTGAACTAAGACATGGAGAGAACTTCCAGGAGACAGAGAGGCTCAGTGCTCAGGAGCGGCTGGTACCTAGGGCAAGGCGGCTGCTGGGAAGTATCCCAGATGGGAACTTTATGTATTTGATGCCACAAAGACTGATGATTAAGTTCTGAAATCAAAACACAATGTAGATGAACTAGACCAAGGCTATGTTCCCAGGTCAAGGCCATGAGTTTGGAGTCTTAAGAGCTCAAAACCCAGATCCATGAACAGAGGAACACTGCCAACAAAGTAACCATGTGAGAATGCAGTCTTCTTAGAGGAAGCAGCTCCCCAATATGGCCTCTCATCTGCCAACAACTGCCCCAACTAATCTACGGCCTATGCAGAGACAGACCCCCCACCCTCAGCTGCTCACTTTCAAACTACATTAAGAGTATCTACAACTGGTCAAACTGCAGAGAGGAATTGTCAGTGGAGTGTTCAGCCACAAATAGGACATCTGTAACACACACACACACACACACACACACACACACACATGCACACAAGCCAGGCTCGGGTACTGCTGAAGAGGGGGTGAGAAAAGAGTCAGAGGCAGGGGAGGACTGGAACAACACAGTACGTTGTGGACCCCTGCACCCGTGGGCCCACGGCAGCTGTGGCCGGCTGTACAAGACCAAGCCAGTCAACACTCAAGCGTAGAGTGTGAAGGAGTCTATGAGCCCCCACCCCAACTGGGGAGCTATTGAGAGCTGATGGCTTCTGGAGAAAGGAAAGGCCAGTTTTTCTTAAGGCTGTGGCCACTGGTACGTAGCCTGGTTGGCCCCGTGCGGCAATGGATGGATGGCCTTATATCCATGAGTACACGGGCAGTACAAACTGGACTCGGGGAATTATTTTTTTAAAAAAGCAAAGAGCACAAAGTCAGAGTTGGGGAGGGGTGGAGCTGAGTACGCTCAAAATACAATGCATGAAATTCTCAGACGATTACTACAACTATTACGTGTTTCTTAAAAAGACTGTTCACTTTCTGGGGAAACACTGGATTTTCAGGGCAGCTTTTCCGAGCCACCCCTACCCACGAACACTTACATCTCACACCTTCAGTTCCGAGGCAAGTCAAAGCCTTCCACAGAAACCTAGTCCAAACTTCGATTACTTGTCTAATCAGTGCCCTGGGTTCCAAGACCTTTGCCAGAGCCTGCCTCCTGCAAGACGCGAGCAGGAAGGCGCTGTGTGCCGTGTGTGCACAACCTTAACTTCACCTTGCCACTAGGCTTATCAGGGCACCTGGAGAGGAACACCTCACATGACTCCACAACTGTGGTGTTTTCAAGGTGTGACCTGTGTCCTGCATTACAACGTGGCCTGGAAGGTATCAAGGGCAGCTGGTTCCAATTGCACAACACCTGACCGGACTCTGGCTCTTCCCTTTCCACCCATCCAGCCGGGTTTACGCCTTCAAACAACACTTTCATTAGGTAAGCCCTGCACAAACTTGGGTCTTTAGGCAAGTGTCTTACAGCCTAGACTTGCTTCTGACTACCTCTGTCCCTGAGCCACTCCCCACACGCCTGTCCCAAGAGCAGCACTACTGATTTCTTATCTTCTCTACTTCGTGGTTGTCAAACCTGCAGGTACTTTGGAGTCCATGAGGGCATGTTTTAAAAATAATCCCATTGCCGGGCTGTGGGGAGAAAAGAGGGCCATGCCCTTCCAGGATTCTGATCAAAATGGCTTAGCGTGGGGTTCACAGGGCACAGTGTACAAACTCACAGGTAATACTACTATATGGCAACGGCTGAGAGTCAGAGCCCTGGCTGGGTACACACATCCTTCAAACACAGCTCAAGTCCCACCTGCAGCCTCAAGGGTCTCTCCCTCAAATCTTTCCATCACCACTTCTTACCACACACACACAGTATCTCACAGGGTCCATTCAACACACACTCTTCTTCCACATGTTTCCACATGTCTGCAGTGGTAACACACGCAGTGAAAGGAGAGGCGCTAAGGGCAAAGCTAGAAGAATCACCAAATATGAGGCAGGGCAGGAATTCTGGGTCTTGAATGTTGAGGGACCACAGACACCTTTTGAGAATCTGGTTAAAATTAAGGCAACTTTTCCCCCAGAAATAAATAAAATTCTGCATATACTTTCAGGAAGCCCCTATGCGAGACTTCCTAGTGGGTTTATGAGCTACAGGTTATCTTCGCTCTAAAATGAAGATACAGAAACCAAGTAGGTAAATGACTTGCCTACAGCCAAAAGCAGTGGCAGAGACGTGTCTATGCACCCCCAGACTCCTGGAATTCCATTAACGTCCCTTCGCTTGGCATCTCCAGTAACTACTGCCTGATGATGTACTGGGCAAAACTCAAGTGAAGCTGAGCTCTGGATACGGCCACACCGCCTGCTCACAGCCATCAAAAATGCATTTGCTGGACTGGAGAGATGGCTCAGTCCTGAAGAACACTGAATACTCTTACAGGGGACCTGGATTCGATTCCTAGCACCCACATGGCAGCTCACAACCATCTGCAACTCCAGTCCCAGGGGAATCCAACGCCCTCTTCCGGCCTCCTTGGGCATCAGGCACTCACAGGAAGCACAGGCATGCGTGCATGCAAGCAAAATACCCACACACAAAATCAGTAAATAAATAAAATTTAAAAAGGTCAGCTTGCCTTCAAAGAAACAAAAAACAAAAATGTATTTTCTGACAATTCTCAAGACATAAATTTCAATACCTTCAAACAAAGTGAATTTTCTATTTTTTTATTTTTTAAACATTCACAGAAACTATTCACACCCCAAACTCACCCGATTCTCCTTGAGAGCTGGGCTGTTGTCCCCAAGTACGAGGCGAGAAGCACATCTTCGGAACTCTGCCAGGCCCAGGATGGGCAGGTACTCATGGTTGAGGCTACTGTCGTTAGCAATCTTCTGTTCCACCTTCCTCACTACTGGCAAAACCCAGGGCTGAGAATCATCTGTGCGGTATGCTGAGTACAAAAAAGGGGATATACATGAATCTCAGGCATCGTCCAAGTCAGAGTATGGAACTACGAACAAGGAAACTCTACTGCTTTCTACAAACAGAGAAAATTCCACCAGCTTCTCGTCAAAGCAGAATAGAGACAGAAACACAAAGTGCATTCACATGCTGGGCACATGGGACAGCCCTGCTTTTACCCCTGGCAGATCACGCAGTTTTTAATGTGATCTCCAGAATTAGGATGCTGAGATAAAACTGAAACATCTCAGATACCGGTCAAGAGAGAGGGAGATGTCTAGGAACCAAAGCCATCTCTGAATGCTGCAGACACCAAGAGTGCAATTGGTCTCTGTAACCATGCCTCCAAGTGAGTTCCACAAAAGCCTAGGGCAGGCATGTCTAAACTGCAGCCACAGCCTCATGTGTCTCAGCATAGCTATGAACGTGACCAAACAGGTCTGGAGACAATGACAATGTCATACTTCAACCTCAGAAGGTTGGACACATCTGGCTTGGAACTACTTCACAAAATCTCTGTGCCTCCAAACACAAACACGGAGAAAGGAGAAAATCGAAGGACATTTGCCTCTTCCAGTTGTCCCAAAGATGCAGAAGCACGTCACACAGGAAGCCAGTGTCCTGTGCCTGGTGTCCAGCAAGCAGTTACACAATGACCAGGGACCCACTAAAGCACACCTTTGTCCTCTCTGTGTGTTTTGAAATCCGCCAGAGTTTACCATTTTCACTGTTCATACACACCAGCTACCTCACGTTGTCCGTACTGATCTAACTCTATTTCCCAGCATTTAATGAGCTTACACAGTAAACCTCTAAGTGTCTCTTCAACATTTTAGAGTGCTTAGCATGTCCTTAAGCCGCTTTGACCTTTCCTACTTCCTCATACACACACACACACCACTCTAAAGTTCTGCTGGACTGCAGCTTCAGCAGGCAGCTGCTTTGGCCTTGACCCTCGCCTGACCTGGTGACCTGGTGACCAACGGGGTTACTGTCCTCTGTACTCCACTGTGTAATCCAGTCAACAACCCGACGCCTGCAGTGAAACCAGATTCTAACAGTGATTCGGACTACATTTTATCTCGTTAATTTCTGTCCAACTGTCAGTTCCTGTCTTTGAGAAAACAGGTGTCATATTTTAGGGTGTCTTACTGAACAGCACACATTAACTGTAAGAAGTTTAGGAAAGCCAAAGGTAAACAATGAACGCCACAATCCCAGCACTCCGGTACAGGAGCATGGGTATACAACCTTCTCATCTTTACCGCCAGTATGCACATTCTTTTATAAAATATGGGTCTTACCATCACAAGGTTTTTCAACACGTGGCTTTTTTCCACTTGAACCTATTTTATGAGTATCTCTTCTCATCAGTAAGTATTCTGATAGGCAAAAATCAGGTTTTTCCTGATTAGATAAACTTCTTATCTTTGTTGAAGGGAGTTAGTTTGATTAGCTGAAGGCTGTCAGTCATACTCTTGTGATTGACTGGCCAACCCAGAGGCTGTAGGCGGGTGCGTGGCTACTGCAGTTTGACCGTCACATTTTTATGACGCACTGATACACTTCTCAGATCTATAGATGTCACATATTTGGGAAATACAGTTAGCCGACCAAGTAGAAAATAGAGATACAGTTTAGAATGAGATTATAGTTTATAAACTATTTTGTTTGCTGAACACATTTTAGCTTAGTAGTTTTACATTTAGAAGTATTTTCTATAAATATTCTCACGCTAGTGATATAAAAATATTCAACACAATGTTTCTAATAGCAGATAATTAAAATCATGATTAATAATTAATAATTCATATATAGAAAAGAGTATTTCCTCACCCCCATGGTAATGTTGTAAATGGCTCAAACACAAGAAAAATTTCCAGTTGCATTTATGGTAAAAGAGACGCAAATGAAAACCACCTTGAGACACAAAGTGCACATTCATACTGGGAATTTACTCAGGAGGCTGTGGGGAAGCAGACACTCTGCACACGGCTGTTTCAAGTGTAAACTGATGATCTTTGTGAAGAGCTGTGGAGAGCAGCTTGGAAGCATCTGTCCAGACACACACAGGTCAGCACCTTCCATTCCAGCCTGCATCCTACAGATGGGCTGTCAACACGTGAGATGACCTAGGCACTAGTGGTTCGCTGAAGTATTGCTTTAATATACTACGACTGTAAACAACTTGGGTGTCCAACATGAGACTGGCAAAGTAAAATCTGGTTTATTCATCAGTTAGGCAGCTGTGGAAAAGAACAAAGATGCTCTCTGTGTACAAACATGAAGGGGAGATCAAGTGGGAAAAGCAAGGGACAGACCAGTGTACAGCGCACTGTATATTACCAAATACAAGAAGTTATATTTGCTGTAAGTCATGGGGAACTCCTGGAGCTGTACTGAGTGGGGGAGGGATTTGGCTGATTGCTGTCTGCTTGTTGGCTAAAGCAAAAAGAAAGACCAAAATACCTACTTCTGAGGAAGAGCTATTCTTGGCCCAGAGCACCAAGTCAGGCGCCAAGGCTACACTGCCGAGTACTCCTGGAAGTCTCTGGGGAATGGATTTTAGAGGGGATGCTATTTCTGTAAATGTCCTCAATACTACCGAACCTTCATCCTTTGAAAAGGACTTTAATGTTGGGAGAGGAGGAGCTTACATCAGTCCTGGTAAGCAGAGTTGAACAAACTGGATGGCACGTATGGAGACAATTATAAAGAGGTGGTCTCTTGGGGGAGCCCTACCGCTCAAGACCATTTCAAGGGTCACAGAATGGATGCATGTCTGGACCACACAGAAAGGATAATCTAGACTCACCAAACGTGAGTCGTTTTAGAAAAGTCAGGGCCAGATCTATGACTGGGTATTACATACAAGATAACACAGGTATGCTGTATGTTAATATTTATGTCATTCCTAAATTATTGTAAAATAAGTAGAAAAAAGAAAAAACCATTGTACTGATGTTCTTATCATTACTATATACACTAAAGACTTAAAAAACAAAAACAAAACAAAACAAAAAAAACCCTGTAATTCTGGAGAAGGGGGTTGGGAAGAGGCACTGTTTGCTGTACTGAGAGAAAGGGCGAATTGCCTAATTCAGTGGCTTCCTTCTCATTGCCCAATTTCTCCCAGGTTCAGTCCTAGACATACCCGAGTGTGTTGTGTATCTTAGTGAAGCAGGATTGTAAGCTACTCCTGAATGACTGGGGCAAGGAAGGCAGCATTGCGGATAGCCACCATGCGTCTCTCCTGGGGAGTTCTTATTGCCGTCCTGTTTGGTTCCTGCTGCTCTTCCTCCCACCCCTCTTCCCATCATTCCATGCGCGCTCTCCGCCTTGACCAGGCACCGGCTAGAAAATGCTACAGCGAGATATCCTTTCTTCTAGGAAAGGCGGCACTCTCGGCTTGAATTCGCCATGCCGGGTCAGGGAAGACCTTACAGAGGATGAAGTGTGAAAGGTAAATAAAGAAGGGTTTTAAAAGGAGATGAGGGAAGAGGTTACATCCCAGTCGGACAGACAACTGTGCCAGGTCCTCAGGAATGGGACAGCAGGAGACATTTGAGGTTCTGCATTTTCCTGCATCGGGAGCAGGCTCTGTGGAGGACCAGCAGGGAAGGAGGAACCACATGGAGCTCCTGGTCTGGGGACTTTCTGTCAAGGATCTTCTGTTTCAATAAGACATCCAAAAGCAGTCACATCAGGAGCTGTACACTTTAACAGAATCTCCTGTAGGAGGCAACGGAAAACAGACTTCAGAGGACCAAGAGGCGCGGCTAAGTCGGAAGATTCCAGAAATGACCCAGAAGAGAGATAATGAAGACGTGAAATAAGGCAGTGGCGATGGGGGATAAAGACAAGGGATGATACACAGGTGGACTTGTGAGGACATAAAACTGGAACCCAAAGAACAAACATATACAGGTGGGGCCGGGAGAGTGTTGCTGGTGATCCCAGTACCCATCTAGTCTGTAATAGTGGGTGGTGGAGGGGGCTGATGAGGATACAGAACTTATGGTGAAGAAGAGGAAGGGCACCAGGCGAGGAGATGCACGGTCGAAAGATCTCATAATTACAGACACTAGTGGGAACTGAAGCCATGGTAATAACAAGGATTTGCTGAATACTCTGCACATTTCTTGATTCTCATTTAATTATTTTAACAAACCACAAAATAGATGGGTATTAGGAATCAGGAAACTGAGGCCAGAAATTATTTGCCAAAGATAAGAAGAGTTAGGCTGGGACTACTGAGTTCTCGCTTCCTTTCTTTTTGATTTTAACAGGTGATGCCTAAGGAAATCGCAAAGTGCTCAGCCCAGAGCCTCTATCAGCTCCTTATCAGCATGCTGCTGAGGTCTACCCTGTGAGCCTGGTCTTTCTTCCTGAGGGAGCATCCAAGGCAGTCACACAGGTGAAGAGCAGGCCCGGCAGTCTTGCTTTGCAGAAAGGAAGAACAGGGTTAAATGGTTCAACTATCACCCTCATCACCTCCTCCTACTGGCGCCACTTCCCTCACCCAGCCACACCCAAGAGCCCTTGCACCCATGCCTCTGAGACCCTTCTCCACCCTGTGCTCTGAGAAACACCTGACACAGCCATCTAGTCAACAACTGATATCAGAAGAGGGGAGGAGCCACACTGAAAACAACTACTAAACTAACTAGACCAAAAGAAGGGTAAGTTCACATTTAAAAAAGAAGAAGAAGAAAATGAAAGAAAGAAAGAACTGGAGGCTAGAGAGATGGCTCAGTCTACTCTTTGCCTACCACGCATGCATGAGACAGGACCTCAGATCCCAGACACCCGCATAAAGAACTGAGCATCATGGCGTGTAACCTAAAGCTTGGGACAGAGGAGACAGACAAATCCCTGAGCTCACTGGCCCGCTAGCCGTGCCATCAGTGAGTGAGCATCGGGTTCAGGGACAAGCACTGTCCCAAAAGAAAAGGGAGAGAGGAATAGTGCAAGGCACTCAGTGTCAAGAGCTGGCCGTCACATGAATATATACGCTCACAGTACTGGAGCGGGTGTTGCATCAGGATGGACTTGTGTCTGTCTATCTTTAAAGGCACTGCAGTCAGACAGAGGCTTTGAGAAACACTAAGCCCATAAACTCCATAAGCATTGTGCTTAACAGTGAAAAAATGAGACCCACTGCTGTTTAATGACAAGAAAACTATTGAAATTAGCTCAGCATGCAGAAAAATCTCTGGGGCAACTATCTGTGAGTGGGTACCAGCTGACGAGATTATAGTAGCAGTTTATTCTAAAACTGTCCAGCATCACTAGAATGGGAGAGGAGGAGCTTCCATTACCTTTGACCTTGGGAGGAAGCCTCATCTCACAGTCAGCAATTAATTAATCTCCTTGTCTGAGAGTGTGCTGACGCGTGTGTATACGTAAAACAGGACGTGCACATGCAGAAGGAGACCGTTTATTCTACTCTGCTCGGAGCAGACGCTGGCCTGCCACCTATCTCCCACACAGAACAGGTCACAGTAATGACCAAATACGCAAATACGCAACACCTTCCAACTACAGGTCACATGTCACATGTGATTGTTCTTTTACTCCACGGTTAATTGACAGGGTCAATACAATTACCCCACACCGCAGATTTACCCTATTAATAGAATCACAGAGCATGCTGGGCAATCTTGGAGTAGACTTTTGATAGATTCTAATTGTCATTCATTCCTAATACCCCATTCTACCTCGGCTTCAAAGGCATTAAATAACCCTCATTAGACCACAGTTGGCACCGGGCACCCAGGGCTCCTGCCTCTTCTCCCTGCAGGTTACTGGCTACCCGGAGGCCGGCTGAAAGTATCCTAAGCCGAGAAGAGGCCAGAGACCCTGGGGTCTAGGACTTGGCTAGAATCCCAGCTCTTCAACCTAGGGGTCAAACTATACTTTCCCCTGGGCTTCAGCCTCCTTCCTTGCAAACAGGAGAGTCACAAAACAGCTCCCAGAAGTGCTATGGACAGAAAGTACACTTACATGAACAACTCATTCGCTCCTGTTCTTAGGTTCCTGGAAAAAGTGGCAGAAGGCATGTCACTGCTGAGATGGGAATCTTGCTAAAGGCTGATTCGGGTTGTCTGGACTGGATGCTATAGCAGGAAGGTTTTTGTGTGCATGTGTATTTTATTCCTGAACCAACGTCATAAATTATTTTGTTTTTCAGTTGTTAGGCTGATAATTTTCATTCAACTTTTTTTAAGAGACCCACTCAAAGAAACGTCGCCACAGCAACTGAAATCGTTGGTTATATAACTCCTGCTTATACGTCAGCCCTCATTCAAAGCCTGCGATTGTGTTTAGTCTCCACAAAAGCCCTGTAAGATGGGCCAAGGCCCTCGACCTCATCAGTTCTTCTATATAAATCAGGCTGTAAATAAACACTTGGAGGTTCTGCACTGGGTTTAAATAAAGAGCTTATACAGTGAGCATTCTGATTTCTATTCAAGACCATCAGCATTTCTCCTGTTCTGCTGGCTGCTAAAAACATATTTCCCTCCACTGGAGAAACAACTAACCCTGACTTTTTAATGCTTTATTTTGAGAAGTTTCAAACATACATAAAAGATGAGAAAATAATATATGTCATTTATGTCCATGCACCATCGCCCACCGTCAATACAACAGCACTGAGGATATTCTCTCACCCCTCTCCTATTCCTTGATGGTGTGTGTGTGTGTGTGTGTGTGTGTGTGTGTGTGTGTGTGTGTGTGTGAAGGGTTATGCACACACACACTTCTATAAGAATCTTGATTCTGAATCTCCTTCACATCACCCTCGGCTACAAAACAATTGTTTCTTCTTTCAAACCTTCTAGCACCTTCAAGCAGTCACCCACCACCCCGCTCACGTTTTTGCCATTGGCTGGCTGGCCTCTGTATACGGACAAACGCAAACCAGGCTCCGTAAAGCTTCCAGCATCGAAGTGATGGTTACAACAAAGTCGCTGGAGGCTCCTGTTAAAAGGAGTTTCAGGCACTCTCCAACACAAACGTCCTTAGCAGAGGGCTAAACTGGTTCAAGGAAATGAAGCCCCAGATGTGTGAACCCTGAGCTGGACTGCACCTCATCTGAGAATAAACCAAACCGAGATCTTCCCTCACGTGGGGTGACAGGCTTCCTAACTGGCACCTACTGTTCACCCAGCCCAGACCACAGTTCCAGTAGGCTAACAGCTCTTTCATTCCCACTTCCCGGCTGACCATGACCCCAAGGCTACCAGACTTCTCCTTCCTTACAATCCCTGGCCATCTCATTGCTTTGAAACATGTACTATTAAGAACACAGGATGGAGGAACAGAAAACAACGTTTGTGCCCCAGATGCTACACCTGTTCTGCGTGACCTTGAACACACTGCCTTTTTCCAAGGACTCCGAGTCACGATCTGCAAAATGGGTAGGTTGGTGGACGGCCTCATGGCCCCAGCCTTCTCTCCCGGGTCCCCTCTCAGGGAGGCACCAAACTAAGCCTCGGCTCCTCCCACGGTCCCCCCCATGCTTCTCGCATTCCAGGGCACTGCATCCTTACCTCCCACACCGAGGTTAACCTTGCGGGGATCTGGATCCTCCCGGAAGTCCGCAGTGAGCTTAAAGACCAGAACTGGAGGGGCCTGTGGAACCTGGGCAAAGACTGATGGAGGTGCCATCGTGAAGGAATCTGCCGAGACCTCGAGCGCGAGCCCAGAGCTGCTCGGTGCGCTGAGCAGCACGGAGACCGGAGGAGACTCTCACCTTCACCGGCGGGCGGGGAAAGCCCATGACTTCCAATAGCCGAGTCGCGTCCGGAACTTGGCAACGTGGTCAGCCAATCACAATCTCCCGACATAGATGGGTTAGGCGGGACAAGTCCCTATTAACCAATTCAAGAAGAGAATCTTATCGGAGGCTCGTGTGATGCAACCAGTGCGATTTACACCGGTGGAGGTGTGGGCGGAGACAAGGATGATTGGCATAACCTGCTCCAATCGCTGAGGCTTTTATTCCTTAGGGTGATGAGGATGTTGCGGGTGGCTGGAGTCCCCAGAGGACATATTCCTTGACCTTCTGGGGCCTGGAGACCTGGGGCGGTGGCCGCCCGTGGGAATTGCAGAGGACAGATGTTCCTGTACCCGCTGAGCAGGTGGTTGTCCCCGCCAGGCCCCGGCAGTGCGCACGTTCCCGAGATGTCCAGGTCGGACTGACAGCCAAGTCCCCGGCATTTGTGCGGAGAACTCGAGTGGTCCACCTGGACACGCTGTACCCGAGCGCGGGTGACCCTGATCATCTCCACTCGGTGTTTTCCCAGAAAGACACTTGGGAGCGCTGTCTGCCCTGATCGCTGGCAGGGGAGACCCTGCAGAGAGTAAGGGATACGCACTTGCTGGTTTGAGTAATTTTACTCCCCGGTTACTTGGAGAGAGGGGGCGCCTAGTCCTCAAGGACCGTCAGGCATCTGGCGAGGCCTCCCTCGTAGCCTTCCTCCCATGTGTGCTGTCATCGACTGGCTGATACCCAAACTGTTGCTTCTTTTTGTCAGGCTGCTCCTTCCCCTGAGACTATTTCTGTCCAGATCCTTTCTCCACCTGTTGACCTTGAAGATTCACATCTGTCAACTCTCCGTAAAACCTCTCCTTAACCCTCCTCCTGGTTAGAAATCTCTTTCGTATGCGTCGGGGGTTTGGTGGTCGACATTACAATTTTAGAAAATGTCCTGCTGAGTAGGAACCTCGCTCTGGAGCCAGGGAAGTTAGGTTCGGAGGCTGGCTGCCACTTACTAACTCGGGCAGGCCTGTTCCTGCTCCGTAGAGTGGAGATAATAGTGTTTTCCTCGGGGTTGTCGTGGGGATTATGTGTTAATACATATAAAGCGTTTAGTTGCATGCAGTAAGTGCTCTCTAAATACTAGCTTTGTTACTGCACCTCATCCGCACCCCCCTGGCAATGATATGCTGCTTTGCCTGGGACCTGGCAAACCTCCCTCCGTTTCTCATACTAAATATCCAACAAATGCTGGAAGGAGCCAGTTCCTTGTTATTTCGTGAGAAAACAATATCATGGTTTCCTTAGGAGAACATGTTGAATCTTCACACGAGTCTTCCAGTCAGGATGAACATAAGCCTCGGAACTCAGCAGCACCTGCTACCTTTTCTGTCTTTTGCTTTTTAAAAACATCGCCCCGTTTTTTTTTAAGGTGACTTCCCACAGCGTTCCCATGTTTCCCTCTGACTGTCACAGCTAACGCCGAAGGTCCAACAGCCTTCTGGTGCTTTTAGTACTTCCAAAGATCAGTCTGAGTGCAGCTGTGGAAAGGGGTGTTTCTGCAACCTGGCTGTCCTAGTGTGATCTCCACAACAGTAGCCAACAATGTCATGGTCACTGCGTCATTCCCAGGGAGAAAAGCAACCTTAGGTTACCCAAACACTGTCAGTGTGGCTACGATCAAGTAAATACTTCTCTCTCTCTCTCTCTCTCTCTCTCTCTCTCTCTCTCTCTCTCTCTCTCTGTGTGTGTGTGTGTGTGTGTGTGTGTGTGTGTGTGTGTGTGTGTGTTCTGTTAGGCACAAAGTAACACATGTGTGGGGCCAGAGGTGAACGTCAGGTGTCTTCCTTCCTATTATCTCCCCTTCCTATTATCTGAGACAGGGTCTCTGAACTTAGAACTCAGGAATTCTTCTAGATTGTATCGGCAATGAACTTAGAGACTTGCCTGTCTCCGCTCCCCAGCATGGGAGTTATAAGCAGGCTATCACACTTGACTTCTTCATGGGGGCTGGGGATCCAAACTCAGGTCTTCCTTGTACAGCAAGCATGTTTACCAACAGAGTCATCTCCCCAGAGATGATGGCCTAAACGGCTCCACGATCAAACCATGTGATAGCGTACTGGATAGTTTTATGTCAGCTTAATACAAACTAAAGTCATCTGAGAGGAGAGAACCTCAACTAAGAAAAAGCCTCCATAAGAGCAGGCTGTAGGCAAGCCTGAAGGGTATTTTCTTAATCAGGGATTGATGAGGGAGGGCCCAGCCCGTGTGGGTGGGGCCACCCCTGGGCTGGTGGTCCTGGGTGCTATAAGAAAGTAAGCTGAGCAAGCCAGTAAGCAGCTCCCTTCCATGGCCTCTGCATCAACCCCTGCAGACAGGTTCCTCCCTGTCTGAGTTCCTGTTGTGACTTCCTTCAATGATGGACAATATAGACGTATAAGCCCAGTAAACCCTTTCCTCCCCAACTTGATTTTGGTAATGATGTTTCATCATAGCAATAGTAGCCCTAACTAAGACAGATAGTGTTTTTATTTCCTCTTCCATTACACCTGAACTTTAGGGGGTTGGAAAGATGAGGAAGGAAGCCTATGTTATATAGAATTCAAATGTTCATTTTTTTTTTTATCCCTCAGTCATGTGGGCCTTGGAGATTGTGTTCAGTCTTCTCTTCTGTCTTGAGTCTTGTAAGCTACCTCCTAAATAAAATCCCAAACTTGAAATAAACAAAATGCCTTCCCGGTCATTGCTAATTTTAACACTTTGACTTAGAATTGACTCAACACTGCCTCCTTGCTGAAGAAATAATTCAAGCAAAGGGCTTATGAAGAGAAGCGCCAGGCAGTCAAGTAAGGCAGGCAGCAGAATGGCAGGGAGAGGGGAGCTGAGGTCAGAAGAGAGGAGCTGGGAGTTCCATTGCCTCCTGGCAAGTTTCTAAAACTGTTCAGCGGAGTCCTTCTGGCTCCCACTCAGACCCCAATCTCTTTTCTTAAAGAAAAAGGAAAAGCTGTGAAAGAGGAATTAGGAAGCCACACAGCAACAGCTGTATCAAGAATGAATTCCTTTAGAATATATTCTTTGGGAAATCTGAAGTCTCTAGGGCCAACAATACTGTCCCAGAACACAAGCGGCAAAGCATCAGAGGCAACTGCCCGGACCTCTAAACTAATCCACCCCTGCTCGTTTTACTCAGTCTTCACCCGGAGCACCCAGGGTGTCTAAACTTAGGAACATGCGGGGGAGAGAAGTTTAGTGCCCTTTGCACTGGAGCACAAAATGCTTTGTGGTGGTTATATTTGGGTGTATGTACACTGTCCCGAAGGGGGAGGATATCATTTACATGTTGAGTTTGTGCTGAACACATTTTCTTTCAAAACCAAAGATGTTAGAGAAGATACATTCAAGAGTCATTGTGTGGCCAAATGGTGGGTTCAATAAACACCAAGCCTGCTGAGGGGTTGTGTCCTGGGATGGCAACTGGGTTTTCTTGCTAAAGAGAGCAGCCAGTTTTTTAGCTTCTCCCGGACTAACTAGGTCATGTGCCTGGGAGAGCCTTGGGAAAGCTTACCTCTGTGCTTTATTCTCAGATTCTCTTTCTTCTTCATGTACGGCTCCTCTGCCAGCATAACCCCACCCCATCCCCAGCCACCTCAGGGTTTGTACCAAGCCAGTATATACGTTACTGTGTCCTATCTCCCAGAAGGACATGTCCAATGGGGCCTGGAACAGACGGGATCTATACTTAGTTCCTGAACTGGATACTCACGTGTGCAGGTTTTATTTAAGGCTCCAAAGACCTTTGTGTTCTGAAGATACCAACAGGCCTGAGTGCCGGGAGTGCTATCATTACTGCCGACTGTAATTAACTCCCGTGGAGCCATTTAGAAATTGTTGCGCTGTATAATTTTTTATACTTAAGTATCATAGTACAATGGTTAAAAGCCTGACCTCTAGAAGTGGATTTCCTCTGAGTGGCTCATGTTCCTCACCTGCAATATGAAGATAATAATAGTTCTACCGCAGAGTGAGGGTGGGGATGCTGGGAAAATTAACTTATTTAATGCAACTGAAAAGTTTGGCATGAAAACTCTTTGAACTGCATTTCCCAGGAACTCAGCAGATGCTAGCAGGGCTTGCCGAGGGTTAATAAGATTCGTCGTCATCACTAATATCACAGACTCGTTGCTTTGAGAGTTGTTTAGGCTTTGTATTGAATGACGAGCAGCACAGGTGAAAATTAGTGCTAAGCTTGGACTCAGAATCAGATCCCAGCTTTGCCTCTTACTAGTTGAGACATTGAGTGACTTAGTATTGTCTGAGTGTTACTGTTCTTGTCTGTTATATTGTAGCAGATACAAATGTGTGCGGCATAGTGGCAGACTTATTATTATTGTCATAGAGATTACACTTTCGTCCCTAGGCAGCTGGAAGGTTCTGGTTGAGCTCTCTTTGAAGTCTGCCTGATCTGGCTTGATCTGGCCTCTTGCAGGTATGTACTCTGAGGTGTTTTTTAAATGGAAAAGGCCATGGGAGGTGATGCGTGCCTATAAACCCAGCACTTACAAGGCTGACGGAGAGTTTGAGGTGAGCCTTAACTACTTACTGAGTCTAAGAAGTTTTTGTAAAGATCTGTGATTGCTAACAAAATTTTTTTTAAAAAGATAATATATTCAAAATGAATTAAAACATAAATGTATTAATAATAATCTTTTATATCTTTCTCTGCAAGAGAAAATAATTTTAGAAACCATCCCATAACTCTCTCAACATCTGGGGAAGCCTTCATTTCCACTTAAGACAGTGGTTCTCAACTTTCTTAATACTACAGCCCTTTAATACCTTTTAATACCTTTAATATCGTTGGAAGTTACCTCGTGTTGTGGTGACCCCCAACCATAAAATTATTTTTGTTGCTACTTCATAACTGTAATTTTGCTACTGTTATGAATTGTAATATAAATATCTGACGTGCAGCTTCAAAGGGGTCTCATCCCACATGTTGAGAACCACTGACTTAAAACAACAACAACAAAAGTCACAAAGTATATTGCCTTAGCAAAA